GGATTTGGGAAAAGAATGGGAGTGTGGGTTTAGAATTATCTGGACTGCTGTCCAAAAGTGTTGGTCTGGACAGAATAGGAGGCATTCTGTATTACTGCATGCTATTCATACATATAGTGGCACTATGCAGATCTATGTTGATTTTGCAAGACAGACAGGGCAGTGGGCTGTTCCCAACGTGGCTCACATGCTGTTCTTCAATGATGTTAATGAATTTCTAACCCTAAAATTCTATACAAATGCAGTTTGCTTCTTTTATAATCTTTTAGAATGGTTATAGTTGCACATGTCTGAAATTACACAGAATTACTAATAATCTACAACATAAAAGCAAGCCATACAATCCAATTGCCTACAATGGTGTTTACACTCCATGAGAGCCTCCTGCCACACTTTTCACCAAATTCTACTCTCACTCCCTCCTTCCCCAATCTGCAATCTTTCTACCACTTTCTCTATCATGTATGCTTCCACATGTTAATCTTGCTTTGCAAAAATATTTTAATGGCAGAACTGACATGAATCCTTTGTAGAATTTTAAATTCTAATATCTTTGGAATATCTTGCGCTTTTGATATTACATTGCCTTAAAAACTTAGATTCCATTTTACGTGCCTGATCCCTCCAATATAGGCAAGCCTGCCATTCACTCACTGCAAATTAGCTCATAACTTCTGCTTGCTCACTTGAGATAAATCTCAGATATCAGTGTTCTGGTGTATATTCCATTCAGATAAAAGATATAACCTATTGTATATTGTATCAGTGTAACTGAAATTAGAATTGCACAGAAACATATCAATTGGTGGGTTGAATAGATGCTTGTCCATATCTTTGTTTAACGATTCCTTGAACTCAAAGCAACACACATCAGACAATAATTACAATAGTTTCAGATTTACTGCAACTACTAAGTTGCTGTCATTTATGTAACTCTTATATGGACATATATTGCAGACCAACAGAAAGTGGAGTTGTTGCTACTTTATGCCATCAACAACTGTGTCAATTAAACATGCCAGTTTCAATTGAATACACTTTTCAAACTGTGCAAAGTAACATATGTCTTTCTGAATTAAACAAAGTGAAAAAAACTCAGCAGGCCCGACAGCATTGCTGGTGAGAAAGTGGAGTTAACGGTGACCCTTCTTCAGAAAAATTTCTCATTGAAAACAAAAGAATAATTGTTTTGGAATTGGCTTGAACTTTCATGGCCCCTGCCAAGTGGAAACAAAGTGCTGCCCTTAACATAATGAGCCAAGAGCCAGCTGCTACCATTATTGTGGCCACAGCAATTTAACCTTGAACCAACTGTTAGAATGCAACTATGTTAGAAAGTGAGCCTGTGTGATGACTTTTAAAAAGACATTTGAAATTAAGCTTAGTAAAACACAAAAGCTATTCATTGAAACATTTTAATTTTTTTTTTAAATTTGCTGAGAAACTTAGTATTCTATATCAATGTAACCAACAAATGGTTCTGTATCATGTTTCAGAGTCATTTTCAGTTATTGAAAATTGGGTGATTGTTTCAGTGACACTCAATAATGTTTAGTTTTATGATAAAACTATCTTCAGTTCTATTATTAAAACTAGACCAGTTATTTGAATATATCAAGAAATATATTTGTAATGGAAATTTTAAAAAAAAACATTACTTTCCAAAATGTTATCCAATTGCATCGGTCCATGATACATTTCATATTTAGTAAAATACAAATGAGTTTGCGGAGGATATTGAGGGAAAAGAACCTCACAAAGAAGAACAGTTAGTCAATATCAATAAAACTAAAAGAAAAATCTCCAGATATTGGGAGTATGTTATTCACATAAAATCTGCTGTTCCATTTAATCAAGGCTTGATAATTCAAGATCTTGCACTCAAATCTGAATTAATCTAATTACATGAATGAAGCAATATAACAAACTAGGAGCTATTGTTGAGATTTGAATTATCAGGTAATTTTAATTAAGGACTAAATAAATTAAGAGGAATACATTGCGGAATGATTTTAATCAGAAACTTTGTAGCCCCCTTCAGCTTAAAATAAGAACACTTCTCTTGTCAAGTTAGCAAATCAAGTTAAATCAAAAGGTCTTGGATCTAAAAACTGTAGTTGAAAAGAATTTATCAAGTTGAATGTCAAAATTAACTTTGGCCATGTGTTTAAAAAGAGTGTCAATTGTTTTGTCAGTTCTGCAGATCGCTTGCTGTTCAGGACTATAAACACCGTTTGAGAAACTTCGATTTTCTAAGTGACATTTTTAAAGAGTAGCCTTGGGTATCAATAGGAAATAGTGTAGCTCACTGACAGGACACCCCATTCCCATTGCTCAGAATTATTTACAGCTATAACATTTCAATCAAAGAGAATGAAAAAGCGAGAACCTTCTCTTAGCCCTCTTCATATCAACAGGGAAGAATCTTTAATTGGAAGAGACTTGCATGCTACTACATTGCCTGCAGTGAGGAAGGGTAGGAAACAGCATTTAGAAAAAAAAATTGCAGCACACAACACAGGATGGAGGCTGCATGGGAGACTGGAAAACAAAAACATCCAGGGCAAGTTAATAAACTCTCATCTAATTCATTGTATGCATTCAGAGAACAATAACACACAATACACTGAAAGATGCCTTGTCCCTGTTGAGAAAATGTCTAACCTCCCCAGTAATCTGGAAGCCTAGAACATAATGCCTCCAGTAGTTCAGTCAGCCCTTGTGAAGGATCCAGTACATTCAAGTATAAAAAGAGCCAATCCCTTCAGAATTAGAAGTCTCAATCACCATACTTCGTTTTTATTTGCCTTTTTAAAGAATATGTATATGTACGGAATATAACTAGGCACAGTTGTTCAATTTACAGGGTTATTCAACCTCTACTTACAGCCTGTGCAGATGATACAGGTACTGTTCTGGAAATAGGAAGGCTGCAGAAGGACTTGGACAGACTAGGAGAGTGGACAAAGATGTAGCAGATGGAATACAAGTGGGAAAGGGTGTGATTGTGCAGTTTGGTAGGTAGGGTCACAGACTTTTCGACATAGGGAAAGGCTTCAGAAATCTTAAACACGAAGAATCTTGGGAGTCTTGTTCAGGATCGTCTTAAGGTAAACATACAGGTTCAGCTGACAGTTAGGAAAGCAAATGCAGAGTTAGAATTTGATTCATCAGGGTCAGAATCTAAGAGCAGAGGTGTACAGCTGAGGCTGCATAAGGCTCTTGTCAGACCACATTTAGAATATGGAGAGCAATTCTGGGCCTCATATCTAAGGAAGGATTTATTGGCATTGGAGAGGATCCAGAGGAAGTTCACAAGAATGATCCCAGGAATGAAGGGCTCGTCTAATTATAATTATCAGGAGGTATAAGTTGAAATTCACAATACCAAATCAGGCCTAAAAGATTCTGTAGATATCATGGGCTGGAATTTCCCAAGGTCAGATCATCATTTCTACAGCATAGATGGAGTTGCACAATCTCACCCTGCAGAATCACCAACATAGCAGACTGAGGGAACTGGTCAGGAAATTGACAATGCCAATGGGAAATTTCCCTACATTTGGTAGCCTCCAGAAGTCATTTAAAATTAGACAGTTCAAGGGGTTCTGAAGCAGTTTGTAGATAGTTACCCATGGAAGGTTAAACAAATAAAAACTTTTCCTAACTCATTTTATTATAAATAGAAACAGAAAATGCTAGAGGAACTCCAGAGGTCTGGCACCACCTGGAGAAAGAAACAGAGTTAACATTTCGAGTTCCATGACTCTGCCACAGAACCAAATGCTTCCATAGTGGTTGTCAGAACTGCTGAGTTTCTCCAGCATTGCCTGTTTTTTTTTTCCCCATTTCAAATCTCCAGAATCCAGAGTATTTTGCTTGTATTTGAGTATTAAACTGATCAACTTACCTCATGCACCCTGAACTACACCTCCCATTACCCATTACATATCCCTGACCCAACATCTCCCTCTCCCATTGGCACTTGACAATCTCGCTTCACGCCAGACCTAAAATCACCACAAACACCCTGAAGCCAACAAAACATACTGCATTGAATTCAAAACTCACTTCTTGGGCATGAAAAAATGCCCTCTACCCCCAGGAACTGGTAACACCAACCCGTCCATCACCACCAGATCCAACAACACCCTTCCACTGCTGTGAGGCCTAACACCCCCCTCTCCCTCCCAGACAGAGACCCGAGATCCCTCTTTCTCCCAGGACCTAACACAACCTGCATTCCACCACATGTAAATTGGGATAGAGTGACAATTTGAGTGTGATTGACACTCTTTGGAAAATTTGATCTCACATGTAATGCAAGTGAAAAATAAGATTTCAATTTCTGGGGTGGAATTTTCCCAGCCCCTGAATGAGGTTGGGCAATGGTGAGAAGGTTGGGAAAACATGGCAGGAATATAAAATGAAATTCATGATGTCAAGAAAAAAAAGTGACTTTCCACATAAGATCGTTAAAGTGACAGGGAATCTCTAGGTAATATCTCATTATTACCTAATCCTGCCTGGATAATATTTCCAGTTGTTATTTTCCCAGGCATTGGAGAAAATCTTGACAACACCAAATCCAACTTGAAATTCAGAGTGGTAGTTGACTTGTTGTTTTCCAGGTTTTTAAATCTTGAACAGCATTCCCCCGCACCTCAGGTTTCTCCACATCGTCCCTCCATCCATGGAGGTTGGAGTCAGACACACTGGTCTCACATTGTGGCACATTTCCAACTCACTTACGATATAGTTCACCACTTCAAAACTGTAGCTTGGAACACAGCAATACCTTACATTGCAATGAAGTTGCTAGGTCGCTTTCTGTGTAGAGACAGGCAACCACCTGTCATAGCTACCTTTCTTAGCACTCATTCACTTCACCAATACTTGGATGTGCATAGCATCTCTGCATTGTCTTGGCTTTTTGTACATCACCACTTTATTTATGAATGTAATTACATAGTTGAAATCCACTTAAACGTTAACACTTCAGAATATAACAAAATGTTGTCTGGGTTAGATAAAAAAGGAATATCACATGAGACAAGAGTTTGAAAACTGAGGAACAACCATTCAATATAAATCAATTTGTTATTTCATAACTAAAAAGGGTTAAAAAAAAAAGATGAATTCTCATGTCACACAAGTGGAAGTCAATGTTTCCACAACTATTTTGGTGCACACTTAACACCAATGTTCAGAGGCCTCAAGCGTTTTTAGTTAGGTTACACAGGCAGTAGCTCGTCAGTTGAGACGAAGTGGAAAATTGGCAGTTGGCCTATTGTTAAGATCAGCTGGCAAACTGATCAGATTTGAGTAGAATTCATGATGGGATAGGTCAAGCAGGGGTTGAAAGAGCTGTCAGCAACAAAATCCAACCCTACAGATTCTGGGCCAATGTTTTGCTTAAAGAAGTTTCAAACTATTCTTAGAGCAGGTTCCAATAGTATCTTTAAAGGATTCCTGGCTATTTGTCCAACTGTGTCCAGTGGGATACCATAAGGATCAGTGCTTTGGTCCCAGCTATTTGCAATTTAAATCAATGATTTGAATGTGGGGCCAATAGTAATATTTCCATGTTCGCAGATGATACAAAATATTGTGGGAATGAGAGTTGTTGGGGATGCAAAAAGACCACAAAGGGATTTTGATCAAGTGAGTGGGTAAGAGAATGGCAGATGGAACATGTGGGCAAGGGAGGTTATCTACTTTGATAGGAGGAACAAAGGTGAAGAGTATTTCTTCAATGGTGAAAGATTTAAAACTGTCGTTGTGCAAAGGGATTTAGGTGTCCTTGTTCATAAGTCATAAAGTATGCATGTGCAGTTCTGGTCCCTTTACCAGAGAAAAAATATACTTGCGGGCAAGGAGATTCACCAGACTGATTCCTGGTATGGTGGGGCCAAAGAGACGGAAGAGACTGGGCCTATATAAGAGTATAGGAGAATGAGACGTAGGCATAGAAACTTACAAAAATCTTAAACAATTAGACAGAGTAGCTGTTGAAAGGATGTTTGCCCTGGATGTGGAGTGTAGAACCAGTGAGACACTCACAGAATAGGTGATAATCCATGAGGAATGAGATGAAAACCTCTTCAGTCAGTGATAAATCTTCAGAATTCTCTACGTTAGTGGACTGTGGAAGATCAGTCATTGAACAATATCAAAACACAGATTGATTGATTCTTAGTTACTAATGACATCAAGAACCATGTAAATTGCACAGGAATATGGCGTTGAGATAGATGATGAAGTATAATCTAGAACGGTGTAGTAGATTTGAAAGGGTGCAGGGCCTACTCATGCTCCTATATTCCTAACAATCTACATTTATGCTCGGTATGCCTTTAATCAGTGGAGCGTTTTCCCCTGACGCTACTGACTTCAGTTTTTTCTTGGCTGGCTTGATGCTATACAGAAAATCAGAAGCTGACTGGCTCAAAAGTTTGGTTCCACCAGGGCCAGTGAGCAGGTTATGATTGAGTAAGTGCTGCTTTATGGCACCTTCCACCACTCTGTTGATTATTAAATAGACTGATGGTGTTGCTATTGGTCTGCTTTGTGCATACAGATAACATCTAAAAAAGTTTCCATATTGGCGTCTGGATGCCAGTGTTGTAGCAGTACTGGAACAGCTTGGCTAAGGGTGTGCCAGGTTTTGGAGCACAAGTTTTCAGTGCTATTGCTGGAACATTGTCAGGGCTCACAGCCTTTGCAGTTTACAGTGCTTTCAGTTATTTCTTAATTCAGAGTGAATTAAATGGGTTTAAGGCTAGCATCTGTGCTGCTGAGGACCTCATGTAGATGCTAAGTTTGATCATCCAATTTTAATAAAAAGATGCTGGAGAAACTCAGCAGGTCTGACAGTATCCCTGTATGGAGAAACAGGGAGACAGTATGGAGAAACAGTTAACATTTTGAGACCAATAACTTCATCAGAACTGATTCTGAACAGATCCGTAGAATTATCATCGGACTGGAAATGTTAACTGTTTCTCCACAGACTTGCTAAAGAAACTGGTTCTTACTGCTCTAAGAGTCTTCTCTTGATCATCTGTAAAATGACAGCACCATTGATTACACCTATCATGAAGCAACTGCTTAGCAATAACCTGTTCACTGACACCCAGTAAGGATTCTGCCAGGCCCACTCAGTTCCTGACCTTATTACAGCCTTACTTCAAAAGTGCACAAAAAAATCTGAATTCCAGAGGTCTGCAAGAGTGTCTGCCCTTGATACCAAGGCTTAATTTGACTGGATATGGCATCAGAGGGCCCCAGCCAAACTGAAGTTAATGGAAAACAGAAAACTCTCCACTGATTATCATCATACATGGAACAAAGGAAGATTGCTGTAGTAGTCACAGGGCAGTCATCTCAGTTCCAGGCCATCTCTCCAGGACTTCCTCAGGGGAGTGTCCTATGCCTAACCAACTCTAGCTGCTTCAATGACCTTGCCTCTATCAGATCAGAAATGGGTATGTTCGCTGACAATTGTTTAATGTTTAGCACCAATCGTGACTCCTCAGATTCTGAAGCAGTCTATGTCCAGTAAGATGTAGACCAGACCCAAGTTGGGGCTGAAAAGTGGCAAGTGACATTCACACCATACAAGTATCATGAAATTATCATTTCCAATTTGGCAGAATCTAAACATCACTGAATCCACCACTATCTACATCCTAGGATTACCACTGACTAGAAGCTGACCAAGCCATGCAAATAAAGAAACTAGAAATACTACAAAAAGTAACTCCTGTCGTCAAAACCTGTCCATCATCTCTAAAGCAAAGATAGTGAACCTGATAAGATTTACAACAATGATTTCATGGACTCAGCTTTAGTTCCAAACTCATTAGTGGAATTCAAATCTCACCATCTGCCATGTTGGGCTTGCTCATTCCCCGTGGCATTTGCACAGATCTCTGGATTACTTGTCCGGTAATATCACCGATATTACCTCCATGTGAATTAAAAAAATCAAGATGAAATGAAACATAACGTCCTTTTTTTTGAAGGCCAAAGTACCATTTAAAAATGGCATGAATCCAGTAAACTAAAGCAATTAACAGATAGGGTTTGCTGTTCATTTCTTGGAAGCATTACCAAGATCTCAAAGTGGACTATACCCTTTCACAGGGCACAGAGCTCTTTGCGGCTAGAATACACAAATTAACATCAAAAATTGAGGTAACAAATATTTTTACCAAATTATTTAAAAAACAATTCTTATTGGTTTCCCTTTAGTTATTTTTCCCAATGTCAAGTTCCTTCTTCTGCACGAGAAATAACACTGTTAGAATTATTTCTGCACAGGGACACAGGAACTGCTATATAGAAAAAGACCTGAAGTTCATCTGCGTTTTCTACTACCCTGATGATTGTTACATCTTGTGACTGAGATGACTAACCATGACAATAATCTCTATCCATTAGCATACAATACAACCATTCATGAAGGTAGAAAATGGTGGAAAGCTTTGGGTCCAAGTTATCTGTTCCTCCCAAGCATGCTACAGTCAATACACCATGTCACATATTACTCATACTGCATACTCAAATATTAATTCTGAACATTTATAATTTGTTTTTCTTTTGTGAATCAACATTTTTCCTTCACATATCCCCCACAGGAATCTTGCACAGTTTCAGAATGTTTTATTTAAATTTCAGATTTTCAGCATCAGCAATATTTTATATTTCTTTTAAAATGCTGATTCGTATAGCTAAAATCAACGGTCTGCAATTTGGAGGCTACCATTCTAAAACTGGACAGTAGCTTTATAAACTAATCTAACTTTGATCATGGAGACAGAAAACAGCAATTCAACCTCCAAAAAACAGGACTGACATCTGACATAGTACTGAGCTGCAAATGAGAAATAAGTCTTTTAGCTTTGTAAGTATGCAATGAGATACTAAAGATGGCAACTAATACAGACATGTTAAAATCTTAGACGTTGCTTCAAGTTGGACCATCACGGTGAGGGAAGGGTCATTGCTCTAAATTGGCAAAATGCAATTCAAACACAAATATCAGGAAGAGTTTTGCAGGAGAATGAACTTCAAAGTAAGGTAGTAGCTATAAGACAAACATTGAATAGTTTAATAGCCGGATAGTTTGCAACAAGATAATGAACATTTTCTTCTGGTATATGAGCTGTGGGTTTCTGCATCATTATACCTAAAACCTCAAATCAAGCACTGAAGATGCTGTTGTTACACCACAAAATTTAGCATTGACAAGTTTAGCTCATTTTATGGAAATGCAATGCAATGGATAAAAAAGGAACATACCACCTGCTTGGTATATAATATGTATGTTTTTCTTAATAACGTTTTTGACAGATTTATATACCCATTACAACTACTAAAATTACTGTAAAAGGTGAAAAAAAACAGAAATTGCTGGTAAAGTTCAGCAGGTCTGGTGGCAAAACCCAAGTTCTGAGAAAGAGTCACTTGACCCGAAACTTTAAATCTGATTTCTCTCCACAGATGCTGCCAGACCTGCTGAGCTTTTCCAGCAATTTCTGTTTCTGTTTCTGATTTACAGCATCCGCAGTTTTTAACCTTTAAATTTAGATACTAGTACTTAATTACAGATAACTTATGCTAAAACCAGCAAGCAATTTTCTCTCCAGGACTGTTAGGTGGCTAGGTTAATTATTTTTCATGTTTAGAATATTTATTGTTAATTGATGCAGTCAAATCCAGTTTAGTGAATAAGCACGCATTATACCTTTATGGTAGTTGAATATTATAAAATTTTAACTTGCCATACAGTAGACTGTATAGGCTTTGATAATTGTAAACAAATAAGGTAGTAAACAGGGAAAACATTCATTACATAGAAATTTCCAACTTGAGGGGCTCTGTCACAGAATCACAGATGCGGATGGAAAATAGTTTTGATTTTAAATTTCCTTAACAATTATCACTTCTGTTGGGTTAATTATTACAAAGAACTGGTCAGAAAAAGTGGAATTTAAATATGTTGGGCCTGATACTGTTGTCATAACAATGAGGAACGTGACAATCACTGATATTTATTTGCAAATAGTGCAGTAACTTCAGACAAGGGGCAGCTGGATAGCTAAATGCAGATATCCAGAAATTGCTGAGAGTTGCACCACTCTGCTGTTAGCTTTCCAAAAATGAGATTTTGTCACCTATCTCACCACTGAACTGCAATGAACGGCAGAAGCTGATGTATTGCATGATAGATACAAACTGAACTTGCCATCAAGTAGATTCTTGTCTCTTTACGAATAAGCCACATTTTAATGATGCAATTAACATTAATCAGTGCAAATCAACCTCATTAGTACTTAAAATTTACTGTCATATATTTGAAGTCTCATTCCTTCAAAAGATTTATTTTTAAATTATTAACCTTGTTTCACTTTTCCTTCTCTCTTCCGTAATCCAATTATTTTTCTCTATTTCTTTTCAGGTACTTGATTCGACATTGAAAATTTAGAATTCTGTTTCAGTTTTTGTGCTTTTGGTTTCATAATCTTTCAACTGAATTGGTTAAAAGATACTGTCCATTTAGATCCTGTTTGCCTCATATCATTATCAGCTCATACATTCAGTAACTTGCCAGAACAAAGACAGTAAATACCTAAACATGAGGGAAAGTTTAACTCATGGCAGATGTTGCTGTAACAAAGCATTATTTGGTCCACTGGTTATTTGGAATAGGCAGCTGTTTTGAAAAGAAACGTATATTTCATTCTTGAACATTTCCTTTCAAACTAAATATCCAGGAGTTCAACCCTAATATTAATTCATTTTCAGCTATTAGTACGAGATCGCAGTTCTTGTATTCCGTGTGCAAATGGACACTTTTCCGCAGTTCGAGGACACCCATCAGGATGATTTACAAAGAACCAACAGAGACGTGTCTTACAAGCTTCAGAAAGTAATTTTCTTTTCTCATCTGATGACAGATATTTTGTTTGCTTTTCTTTTTGTTTGCTTTGCTTTTCTTTTGACCAGTCACGGATCTGAACGTTTCCATGGGCAACTACATGGGAAAGAGAGAATAAACAATTACGTGTTTTTAAAAAATATTTTCAACTGTTTATGTATCTGTTTTGTGACCCAATTCTATATGGTGTTTACATGGTGATTATACAGGAGTATATTAATAAATAGTTTTAGTATTGTTGCTTTTGCACAATAAAAATCATGTATTAAAGAATGAAATAATCGATATCTGAGCAATTTGATTATTCTTTGTTTCTGCAGTTTGGATTAAGAATAAAAGTTTGTCTGCCAGAGGTATTTTTATCCACAAGATCCAACTATTGAACGTTTTATATTAAATAATACAGTAATGAGAAGAGTCAGCACTACAGACTTCAGAATAGAACATAACAGTGTTGTATTTTTCCCTTAGCGAAGATATTTAAGTAGCTGCAGTGGAACTTTCTTTTTCTGAAAAGTAAATACAGGATAGCTTCAGGTAATGAAAGAAGTCTCTTTTGATAGTTTTTGGACATTAAGTATAAAATTCACCTCAACTTCACTGGTTCTAGTAAATGGGTTGTCACCTTTCTAAAAGTCAGGTGCAAGGTCATGCATCGACCCCCTTATGCAAGAACAATATACTGCAAATGCTGTAAATGTGGAACAAATAAACAGAAAATGTTTGAATTACCAAGCAGCCAAGACAGCATCTGTGAAGTAAGAAACACAGTTAACGCTTCAGGTTGATGACTTTAACTGATTTGAAATTATTTTGAGATGTAAATTTTTAGTTAGTTGACCAAAGGTTTGGTCAAAGAGGTAAGTTTAAAGGAAGGAAGAAGTAGAAAGGCATTGCTTGGACGTAAAGTGAAGGCAGGGACAATCAATGAAAATCAAAAGTTAAATTTTAAGTGGATCTAGTTGTCATGGAAACTATTTTGCACAGAGAGTTGCCATCAGAAAACCATTTTAGAAAGCAGTTCTGTAACATAATATTAACATTGGATGTTTTAGAAATCCAAGTAATTACTGTCCCACATTGTCATGAAATTCATATTTAAATCACACCAAAATTGTAAAGCTTCAACCAACAGGAACTAAAAGTTATGAGAAAGACTTACAATTTCAAGGTATTTCAAAAACATGGAACCCTCAGCACTGAATTTTACATGACCCTTTAGCCATTGCTTATTTGTAGGAATAGCAGAATTAGATTTTACTAACGATGATTTAATGGCATTTTTTCAAATTAATTTGAATGGTGGAGGGAATGACATTAGAAACATGCAGAAGAAAGAAAAAGTTGAAATAACCACAGGATTTTAGCTTCATGGAATGTAAAAAGTTGACTAATTTCAGAAACAATTTACTGATAGTCTGAATTTCTAGTGTAGCTTGCTGCATTTTTGTTCAGAAAACAAGAATGTTTAAAAGGGATGAAAATAGCTCCTAGAAATTATAAAAATGCTGGAATTATTAATCCTAGATGCGAACATATAGCAGCACAAATTAGATTATCAACATTTGTAGGCCTTTAAAGAAACCGATATTTTCATGGCCAGATTTTGAGAGAGATTCCCCAATTTGTTATGGTTCCAGATGGGATACCTCAAACTGTTACAATCCTGGATGGAGAGAAATGAACTAGCTCCCCTCTAACATTTAGCTGTCTCCCCTGTTAGTGGCAACAAAGTCGTTATATATTAGATAAATTAGTAACACAACACTCATACACACATATTAGAAATAAGAGGGGACTTCAAAAGAATAAAAGGTAAAATAAGAAGTGCCAATGAATTGTCTGTGAAGAGCAGGTAGTTAACAGTTGTAGCCATTGCAGTGGAGGTTAATCAGTAGCATCGACGTTGGTAGTTGGACAGTTAGTTTTGTAATCCTTTAATTTGCAGTTTCACAGGGACTGTATAGCCAATTTCTTTTAACTGCAGTTGAATTCAAGCATTCAGGTAAGACCGTCCTTTCCTCGTCCCATTTCTTGTTGTCTCGCTGGTACCTAGCTGACCTCTAGCACTCAGTGAGTGTGTCTCTTCATCTGCAACACTGGATGACTAGGGGACAGTTCTTGGACTGTGACTTTCAGAGTGGACTAATGCTCAAAACCAGGCTGATACACACAAGTCCCACGAGCACACACTATTAGAGTTGAAACTGTCTTTTTAACCTCATCCTTGTATATTCTTCAAAAGAGAAAAATACAATGTATTTGCAGTTAGGCACATAATCCGTAAATTCAGCAAGGTTCATCAGTCCCTTGTCTTAAATCATGCTCTTACTGTTTGAACTTTCTTTCACACCTTAATGTGTTGCATTCCATCGGTCACAGACAATTTTTGCCATGCAGCCACTGAATTTACACCTGCAGTTGTTTGGTCTTTGTAGCAACTCTCTTTTAAAAAGCACATTTTAGAATGAAAAACTAAAAACGTTCATAGTATTTGTCCCATTGTCACAAAAATATTAAGATAGGAATATAAAAAATTGAATGGGTGAAAGTTAAAAAAAACATCACACGATACCAGGTTATAGTCCAACAGGTTTATTTGAAAACGCAAACTTTCGGAGTCTCGCTCCTTCTTCAGGTGTTAGTGAGAGAGATGGCATCAGACACAGAATTTGTAAGTATTGAACAGATCTAAATTCTGAGTCTGATGCCACCTCTCTCACTAACACCTGAAGGAGGAGTGAGACTCCAAAAGTAAAATAGAGAATTGGAACATTTATTTTGGTCCTTTAAACCTCCGATAGAATTGGTATTAATAGAAAAATAAAATTCTACCCCTAGAAAACAAATCATTGCTGAGTCTGGTCACTATTTGTTTGCCTGATTATTTCCATAAAAATGCATTAAATACAAACACAGACAGAACAAATACAAAGCTGCTGTGAATGCATGTCACCTGAGAGAAAAATGAAGCAGGTTGGATTAGAGTGATTATAAAGTAAGATCTGTAAACCATACCTTCAAACACCTGATAATTGTTTCTCAACAGGGTTTGTAAGCCACCACATTCTTTTTTTAATTTTTGTAATGTATCACTGTCCAGAAGATCTGCTACATTTTTAAGACACAGGCTTCCTGATGCAAAAACAAATATTGCAAATAGTAATTCAAAGCATAACACAGATTTGCATTTATGCAACGTTTGTCACAATCTTAGGGTATGCTAAATCACTTCACAGCAAATTAAGAACTTTCTAACAAATTACTGCTAAAATGTAGAAATACAGCAACAAATCTGCATGCATAAAGCTGTCACAAACACCTTAACAGTTGGTACATGCACTCTGGTAACATTTCATCATGATGAAACATGCATTTAAACTACCAACATATAGCAGGTGATTTGAATCACATCAGTAGCTCGTTAATACTTCAAGAAATATGTAAATTTAAGTCTAAAATGAAAGTTTAAAATAAATGGTTATAATTTTACTTTATTAATGGACCACCAAAATAGCAATAAGGTGCTAGTTTTACAGTTTTGCAGCCATTAGCTTGAGAGTTGGCAGAGAGCCAGATTTCAATTCACTTATTATAATCAAAATAATTAGTGTTCTCAGCTCTTAAGTAGACTGACTGATCAGGCAACAATGACACCCAAGAAACTATTAATGGGAAGCTAGATAAGCCACATTAAGTTTTTCAGGCAAACATTATGTAAATTCTTCACTGCATCAGTCTTCAATTTTATTAATTCATTAAGAGGAATTGTGATAATCACAAGAGGAACTAACAAAAGGATAGAGTTACCTATGACAAGTGAAGGATGCTCTTGTGGAGCATTAGCTTTGGCAAAGACCGTTTGGGTCAAATGGCCTATTACTACAGAGCAATTTCGTGCAAGATCAACAAGTGGTTTGTCGGAGGGCTTTCAATTTATGTGTGAGTTTGATACAGTGGATAAAATTAAAGGGCTTATTAATGTGATGACTACTAACAGTGAAATATTCTGAGAAAGGGACATGTTGAAGCAGCTTTTCATCTAGCACTCATTATGACAAAAGCAAACAATCACTAAAATAAGACGCAAAGAATTGTGGCTGCTGGAAATCTGAAACAGGTCTGGCTGCATTCTCTACAGATGTTTCTCCAGCACACACACTCTTCATATGATCAAGCCAGTTTACACTGCGGGAGAAAACAGGCACCGATGGAGATGTCTGGCTAACCAACTGGCCAAAGTACTGACTCTGGAGTAAGCAACAGCAAACTGCAGATACCTGATACCTGAAGCCGCTGGGTTATTTAAAAAATAAAAATGGACAAAGAAAACACAGAAACATAGAAGATAGGAGCAGCAGTAGGCTATTCTAACCCTGGAGCTTGCTCCACCATTTAATAAGTTCATGGTTGATCATCAATCTCAATATCCAAGGCCAGTTCTCTGCCCACATTCATTGATCCCCTTACAATACAATATCCTTTTATTACAATATCCTAGATACAATTCTTGGATACAGCAGAGGAATAAAAGTAGTTGCATTACTTAGAGTTGAAAAATAAGTTGATATTACACGACGGTAGGAAATTTCAAAGACATTAGTGTGGCGGAACAGCGCAGGGCTTCCGCACGTGGTCTGACCACCTGTGCCAGACCCCAGTCCAACAGCTGTCCCCACATCGCACCAGCACTAAGCTGCTCCAAGGTAAGTGTCAGGACTGCCTACCCTGCACCAGTCTCTGCCTGGGACTCACTGCCTGCACAAGTCTCCGGGGCTGCTTCTCCACGTGCTACTCTGCTTTAGCCACAAGAGCTATATCTGCCCCCTTCTTGACAACATATTTTGGCCTCCACCACAGTCTGTTGTTGTGAATTCCACAGGTTACCACTCTCTGGGTGAACAAATTTGTCCTCACCTCAGTCCTAAAAGGATAACTCCTTATCCTTAAACCAGAACCTCCTGGTTGTGGACATTTCCCCCTCCCCCCATTATTGAGAACTTGTTCCTACATCTAACTTGTCTAGTCATGCTGAACTTTATGGGTTTCTATGAGATCTCCCGCAGCACCCAACATTCTTCTAAACTCCGGTGAATACAAACTTAACCAACTCAATCTCTCCTCATATGTCAGCCCTGCCATCCCAGGAATGTAGTAAGCCTTTGCTATACTTCTTCCATTGCAAGAACATGCTTCCTCAGATTAGACCAAAACAGCACACAATATTCCAGGTCAACAAGGTGCAGGGCTGGATGAACACAGCAGGCCAAGCAGCATCATAGGAGCAGAGAGGCTGATGTTTCGGGCCTAGACCCTTCATCAGAAAAGGGGGAGGGGAAGGGGGTTTTGAAATAAATAGGGAGAGAGTGGGAGGCGGATAGAAGAGGGATAGATGGAGAGGAAACAAACAGGTCGAAGAGGCGGGGATGGAGCCAGTAAAGGTGAGTGTAGGTAGGGAGTTAGGAAGGGGATAGGTCAGTCCAGGGAGGATGGACAGGTCAAGGGGGCGGGATGAGGTTGGTCGGTAGGAGATGGAGGTGCGGCCTGAGGTGGGAGGAGGGGATAGGTGGGAGGAAGAACAGGTTAGGGAGGCAGGGACGAGCTGGACTGGTTTTGGGATGCGGTAGGGGGAGGGGAGATTTTGAAACTTGTGAAAACCACATTGATACCATTGGGCTGCAGGGTTCCCGAGCGGAATATGAGTTGCTGTTCCTGCAACCTTCGGGTGGCATCGTTGTGGCACTGCAGGAGGCCCAGGATGGACATGTCGTCTGAGGAATGGGAGGGGGAGTTGAAATGGTTCGCGACTGGGAGGTGCAGTTGTTTATTGCGAACCGAGCGTAGGTGTTCTGCAAAGCGGTCCCCGAGTCTCCGCTTGGTTTCCCCGATGTAGAGGAAGCCACAGCGGATGCAGTATACCACATCGGCAGATGTGCAGGTGAACATCTGCTTGATGTGGAAAGTCTTATTGGGGCCTGGGATGGGGGTGAGGGAGGAGGAATGGGGGCAGGTGTAGCACTTCCTGCGGTTGTAGGGAAAAGTGCCGGGTGTGGTGGAGCTGGAGGGGAGTGTGGAGCGGACAAGGGAGTCACGGAGAGAGTTGTCCCTCCGGAAAGCAGATAAGGGTGGGGAGGGAAAGATGTCTTTGGTGGTGGGGTCGGATTGCAGATGGCGGAAGTGTCGGAGGATGATGCGTTGGATCCGGAGGTTGGTGGGGTGGTACGTGAGGACGAAGGGGATTCTTTTTTGGTTCGCAATAAACAACTGCACCTCCCAGTCGCGAACCATTTCAACTCCCCCTCCCATTCCTCAGACGACATGTCCATCCTGGGCCTCCTGCAGTGCCACAATGATGCCACCCGAAGGTTGCAGGAACAGCAACTCATATTCCGCTTGGGAACCCTGCAGCCCAATGGTATCAATGTGGATTTCACAATTTTCAAAATCTCCCCTCCCCCTACCGCATCCCAAAACCGGTCCAGCTCGTCCCTGCCTCCCTAACCTGTTCTTCCTCCCACCTATCCCCTCCTCCCACCTCAAGCCGCACCTCCATCTCCTACCGACCAACCTCATCCCGCCCCCTTGAGCTGTCCGTCCTCCCTGGACTGACCTATCCCCTTCCTAACTCCCTACCTACACTCACCTTTACTGGCTCCATCCCCGCTTCTTCGACCTGTTTGTTTCCTCTCCACCTATCCTCTCCTCTATCCCTCTTCTATCCGCCTCCCACTCTCTCCCTATTTATTTCAAAACCCCCTTCCCCTCCCCCTTTTCTGATGAAGGGTCTAGGCCCGAAACGTCAGCCTCTCTGCTCCTATGATGCTGCTTGGCCTGCTGTGTTCATCCAGCCCTGCACCTTGTTGTCTCGGATTCTCCAGCATCTGCAGTTCCTACTATCTCTGATACAATATTCCAGGTGTTGCCTCGCTAATACCTTGTATAATTGCAGCAAGGCATCCTTGTTCCTGTAATCCTTTTGCTACGAAGGCCAACATACAGTTTGCCCTTTTCACTGCCTGTTGCATCTGCATACTTACTTGCAGCACTGGTGTACAAGGACTCCCAGGTCTCATTGACCATACCCTTTTTCAATTTGTAGTCATTCAAATAATAATTTGCCTTCCTATTTTTGCTACCAAAGAGGATAACCTCTCATTTATCCACATTATATTGCATCTGCTCACTCACACAGCCTGTCCAGATCACACTGCAATATCCTTGCATCCTCCTCACAGCTCACTCTCTCCCAGCTTTGTCTCATCTACAAATAAGAGAAGTTGGCCACTTGAGCTTGCTCTGTCATTCATTAGATTACAGTTGATCGAAGAACTTCACATTTATTCAGCCTGTAACCCAATAGCTTGCCCCCTAGTTGATCATTGAGAATCTACCTCTGTTTAATGACTAGGCAGTACAGTGGCTCAGTTGTTAGCACTGCTGCCTCACAGCACCAGGGACCCGGGTTTGATTCCACCCTCAGGCAACTGTCTGTGTAGAGTTTGCACATTCTTCTTGCGTCTGCGTGGGTTTTATCTGGGTGCTCTAGTTTCCTCCCACAGTCCAAAAGATGGACAGGTTAGGTGGAGTGGCCGTGCTAAATTGCCCATGGTGTCCACGGATATGCAGTCTAGGCGGAACAGCCATGGGAACTGCAGGATTAAGTACTGGGGTGGTTCTGGATGGGATGCTCTTCAGGTGGTTGGTGTGGACTCGATGGCCCTGCTTCTACACTGTAAGGATTCTATGATCATATGACTGCTGACACCATCCTTTGGGTGAACACTGAATTCTAAAAACCCTATCTTCTTGGAGGGGAAAAAACCCTTCTCATCTCAGCCTTAAATGTGAGACTGTTTATTTTTAAACAAAATAACCTCTAGATTCTCCATAGAAGGAAGCACCTTTTTACATCCAACACATCAAGACCCCTCAGAATCTTATTCTTTAATCCAGTCACCTCTTACTCTTCCAAGCTCATTGATAGAAACCTAGCCAATGCTTCCTCAGAAGACAACACATCAATTTAAGGTATCAGTCTAGCAAATTTTCTCTGTACTGCTGCCAATGCATCTGCATCCTTCCTTAGGTAAGGATATCAATTCTGTCCCAACTATATTCCAAATGTGGTCTTGCAA